AGAGTAAAATGTGCATTAACAGGCTAATTCATTGCAATAAAGATTTGCGGGCAGTGTTCCCCAAATTAAGTTCCTTATCCATCTTCTTTGTTAGTCAGATTACTTTACTCACTGTTATTTATTAAGAAGAAGTCATAGTATGTAAAACTCTTTGAAACGTAAAATATTTCAGGCTATGTTTTCTGTCGTTCTCACTTCCTCTGTCTTCCATTGAAACTTCATTAATTTATTGATCTTTTTTTGATCTTCCTCAGTATTCTTTTTCTCTCTACACTCATTACTCCCTTGTTACTTCTTTTGCCCATTGAAGTCTTAAAAAAAGTCACACCAATGTGTCAAATGAGTTATTATTTTGCGTATGTTTTGTTATTATGTTTTGTTAAAAAGTATATCTTTAGTTGCCATATATTGTAGTAATGATAGAAAAATAGATTGCTGTATATTATGTTTGAATTATATTTTATGAACATATTAATTAATTTATATAACACTAGATGGAGATAATGCACAAATAATTTAGACAGGTATGACATTTGCAAAAGCAAAGGTTTTCAGTGCTTTTGTAATTGATGTTTTTCTATTAATTTTATCATTTATAAATTTGTAATTCTAAACAATGTTGATGGAACATTTCATTGAAACCTCAACATGTTTTGCTTAATAGTAAGACAGTGGGTGTCCCTCAGCTAATATTTGAATTGAAATGAAATACAGGATTCATAAACATATTTTGTTAGTTATGAGAGACGGATGATTCCAAATTATAAATATGAAGTAATTTGTACTTAAGAAAAAAATAAATCTTCCTTCTCATTTACATTATTTTCAATCTTTGTCATCTTCTTTTGATTTTTGTACTTGTAGGATGTATAGGGTAGTGACCTCCACTTTATGAAGACAAGTAGTAGTAGTTCATCAGTATTGATTACGTGAAATATTTGAAAAGCAGTGTATAATTTTGTAGCTGATAAAAAGCCGCTTAGAAGAAGCAGATATTTGGCCGACAGCTTGAGTTCATTGCTGGCCATGTAGTTAAGTGATGAATGTAACAAGGAGAAGTTTAATGGATATTTTCAAACTTGATTTTATAGTTGCAGTCAAAAAATAAGAAATGAGTGCTTCTTAGTTCATACAACATATTCCACATGAAGTGGATACACACTAATTCTTTTATGTCATTTACAGTCTAAATAGAATGAAGCTAGTTGTACTGCACATAGTAAGTGCAACACCATATACTGTATATTTTAAAGGGGACTATCTCACTAGAAATGGGCCAAAAATGCCAATTCAGGCAGTTTAGAGATGTATACACCTTTAATAACTTCCAGCCTTGAAAAATGTCCCCCATGCTTGCAAAGTCCCCACTATATTTGTGTAAAGGGAGTTTAGCCACTTAAAATTTTAGTCCAAAATTATGATTTTTATAAGATTTTTTTTTACTTATTTGATTTATTAAATCATTTAGAATACAAATTTTTACAAAAGTGTATATAAGTAGAGCTCTTTATGCACTTTTTTATGTATCTCTAGGGGTATGCAATTTGTTACAAAAAAATGACATAATTCTTTTTATATGAAGCTTAGATTTGGATATTTGCAGCATATGTGGTAATCATTAGGATTATGTTACATTCTTTTGAGTCATTTTAGATTATTCCTTCACAAATTTGACATGCACAATTTTTTGGTATATTATTGATTTTATTATTATCATTATTATTTTTATTTTATTTTATTTTGTTTTTCAGAATTACTCAACTTTGAGATTGAAAAAAAAAATCTTGGCCCTCTTCAGTAAATTACAAGAAAATTGCTAATAACTGAATTTAAATATTTAATATAAAAAAAAAAGTAACATATTATAAACCAGCTGGCAAGATTGAAAAGGTATGACCTTTAGTAAATTAAAAATGAGCTGAAAATCTATCGGAAAGTAGATATGGTCCATCACTAAATTAACAAAATAACTAAGATTGCTTATAGCTTGCCATGGTGTGAGAAAAAATTCACATCGTTCATTATGAACAGCAGCCAGCATCATCTAAATAAGTAATGGAAGCTCATTACCATCTAAAAAAAAAAACCTGTAGTATTACAGTGTCCATAGCTATATAAATTTTACTCTTACTTAGTATGCCAAAGTTAGTAAAGTCATGGACAACATCGAGGCATAACCATTTCATAGTATAGGTTATTCTTAACCCACTTTGCCTTTTCTACACAAGGGGTGATGGATCCTAAATCTCTGTGTCTTTTTTTCCCAGTTTGTCTCTTAAATTCTTATAGCTCTAGAGGTAATTGGCAACTCTCTCATAGCCAGTCCCAGAAATATCTCATGTTTAGAATTAATATTTGTCCATTAGAAAATAAAGACAGAAGATATCATTAATACCTTATGTGAATTTAGCTGAATCTACTTTTTTTGCAGTCTAATGAGTGACAAGCAGAGCTATAAAGGTCTTATCTAGCTGATGTTGTCAGGTATAATATATTTATTTTGATTTTAGGTAATGATGAGTAAGAAGGTACTGCTGTCAGCAAACCCCTCTGATTAACATCACAACGCCATTTGATATTTTTAGAATTATTATGATCCTGTTAGGTGGGCATATTTCTTGCTGCTGTATTATTGTTATTGTTGACAGCATAGTTTAATTTATTATAGATGTAAGAGAATGTATTTTGTACTGAATATGTACTTGTTGCAGAGTTTTTGCACTATATATAATGTTGGAAATGATTTTTAATAATCAGATTGCCTGATTTTATTGTATATTTGTTATCTGGAATGTTTTTGTTGATTAACAAAGCTTTTGAAACTGAAAATATGAATAAAGGCCAACAAAGCATAATCTATTTTGAAAGATTTCATTTACATCAATAAATATGTTAATACATATTGTGGCTAGAATATTTACTGTAAATCTAGCAGTCAAGTATTTTGAAAAATCATCAATAATAAGGTTCCTACATTGTAAAGTGAGTTGTCTGATCACCACCACTTTGCCTTCATCAAGTCTGTCCCTTGAAATATACAAATGTCCCTCCTGAAAAATCTTGTGGTAATAACAATCAGTTGTTTTCATATGTAAGCTATAATCTAGAAAAAAAAAATGGCATATAGTATGATTTACATGGTCAACAAAACTGACAATTGGACACAAAGTAACAAATCTAAATTATTAAGTAAAAAAGACTCCTGCACAAAACAGCCAGTGGACAGACATTCTGAGTTGTGATTTTTCATCTGTGCTTCAAAGATCTCTTTGTTTGTGTGTTCCTTTTTGCATGTACAGAACTGCAAATATCCTGCAGTAATAAAAGTTATTCATAATTTATTTAGGGTTTAATTTTTAGATTTATTTTAACCTTATTTAACCCATTGCTGCCGGGGATGGCATGTACATACATGCTATGCCCACTGTGGGTCGACTTGTTCCATTGTTTTTACACATAGATGGCTACACTTGTACTAAGTATCCAATGAGCCAATTACAAGTACTGCCTGTCTCGCCCGTTTACCCTTTTCATCAATTTACGAAAATATTTAACGTTATCCTAATTTGCTGTTAAAAATAACACCATCTATATTTATAGCACTAGTAAGAATATGTTTTTTCCCGCCAATTCAAGGGAAGGTGAAACCAGGAATAGCAGAGCCATCTATGGACAGAGATTTCACAAAAATATAAAAAATGAGTACTGCATTTTCCCCATTTTCTGTTCATTTTCCCTAGCGGCAATGGGTTAATGAATATGTGTGTGTGTGTGTGTGTGTGTGTGTGTGTGTGTGTGTGTGTGTGTGTGTGTGTGTGTGTGTGTGTGTGTGTGAGTGAGTGAGTGAGTGAGTGAGTGAGTGAGTGAGTGAGTGAGTGAGTGAGTGAGTGTGTGTGTGTGTGTGTGTGTGTGTGTGTGTGTGTGTGTGTGTTTGTTTGTTTGTTTACATACATTCATCACATCCATGCAATTTTCAACCTGATGACATTGACTGGCTAAATAATGACCGCTTGTCCTCCTCCCCTTACATAAATTCTCTTGGTGTATTTACTATTCCTTAGTCCTCAGTATCCTATATCTTAACCCCTTGCCGACGGGGATGGCATGTATGTACATGTCATGCCCACTGTGAGTCGACTTGTTTGATTGCTTTTACACATAGATGGCTACACTTGTACTAAGTCACCAGTGAGCCAATTACAAGTACTGCCTGTCTTGCCTGTTCACCCTTTTCATCGATTTACGAAAATATTTAATGTTATCCTAATTTCCTGTTAAAAATATTTATATTTATAGCACTAGTAAGAGTTTTTTTCCCACCAATTCAAGTAAGGTGAAATCAGGACTAGCAGAGCCATCTATGTACAGAGATATTTCACAAAAATATAAAAAATGAGTACAGCATTTTCCCCATTTTTTATTCATTTTCCCCGGCGGCAATGGGTTAAAAAATAATAATAATAAAAAAAAATAATTGAAATTCAAATGCTTAGTGATTGTTTACTAGTAAGAAGGATTAAAATATAGAGGAAGAGAGTGATTAACAGATAGAGTGAGGCCTAGGTATACTGAGTGACGAGATGGAGAGAGTGAGAGAGACTGATAGAGATTCGCAATAACTTTTAAGTAATAGTTGTAGTTAAATTCAATGAGAATAACTAACTACCTGACTCAAAAAAGACAAAAAAAGAAAGTTCACATTATAAAGAAATATAAAATGCAATTTATGCAAAATTAGATTACAGTAAAGACATAGTTAAACAACTACAATGAAACCATATAAAAGGATAAAATTTTGATAAACAAAAGAAATGAAGCAGATTTCTTGCAGAGTAATGCATGATGCAGGAGAAATAGAGTCAGTAGATAACCATATTTGGTTTTGGTAATAAAAATGTTGAACAGAGATTCATTTGTGAAACAATAGCTATAAGAGTCTTGGCGCCCTTGAAACACTATCTAACGCTACACTTGAGATGAAGTTGTAGGACTACTTCAGGCAATCTGTTTTTTTCAACAGTGGCATTTGTCATTGCAAATGCAGGAAGTCATTATTTTGCCTGTCAGTGTCATTAGGTCGAAAATCTCATGTTATCTGCACACTTACTGAACCTGGAGAGAGAATCGCTGAGATGAAGCTTAACATTACACATTTGGATGCTTGGAAGACACCTGCATTCATAGCATAAAATGTAGTAAGATCAGCATAACTGGGATACAGGAATGTTTTCTTTCTTTTCTGTTTTCTGTTTGTTACACATGGCTTATCAAATTAAATAGATAATTTTCAGATAAAAAATAATAAAACTTAAATTTCAATCCTATATTTAGGGTAAATAAGATACAGGTACTACATATATCAATTAATTTATTTTAAAGTCTGCAAAAATAAGTTTGTACTTTGTATTTGAAATATATCACTGTGAAACAAGTTTTCACACATTAAAATGGCAAAATAAAATAAAAATAAAAAATTGCACAAAATAGGACTTAAGCTGACACACTCGGCTGAGGGATATTTACAGGAGATAAAGTGTACAGTCGAACTTCCCCGCAGACAACAACAGCACAGACAACTGGAACATCGTCGTGAAATCTTGTCGTTATGTCTAGTATCTGTCCTGGTGTTGGGTTTTGGCCATCTCTGAAAAAGAAGGGTTTTTAAACTTGGGTAAATAAATATATGAATTTAAACATTTTTATCAATTAATCATCCAGTTCTCTACTTAATTTCACATACTCCCTACCTTTTGCACACCTACTTACCAACTCACAAGCTTAACTACCAAACAACTCAATACCCATTTCTTAAATTACTCTATTTCTCAACTTTTTATTCTGTATTGATTTGTAAAAGCAAGCTTTGCCAATTCCTGCATACATGGTCCACCCTGTTTCAGCGGTTCAAAACTGTTTATCTGATCATCATAACTGGAGATCAGATTACCTCTAAACCCGTTACTGCCAGGCCACACATAAAGCCGGTATAACAAACTGCTTGATCTTCCAGGTACAGCTACATACATGGTGACACACAAGAGTATGTCGAGCGTGTAGTTCCCTTATATGTTGCAGACTCCCACTCCAAATGGCATGATGACTGCCAGAAATCACCGGAGTCAGTGACACCGAGAGATTTCTAATACCATCATCTAGGGGTTAAGAGGTATTGATATGGTACTGTTTGATAAACACAGGGAAAATTTTGTCCTATCCTTTAAAACCACCACAGGTGATGGGTTAACTGATCCTTTTGCAAAATACGTGCTACTATCAGGAAGGAACATAGCTGCAGTAATCTCCTCTCTCTTTGCCTTTGGTTTAGGTGGAAGATATATTTTTTTAACCCAATGGTGACGGGTGAAGAAAAGAAAATAAAAACTCTACGCTCTGGCAAACAATGGCGGCGCACTGACTTTGAGCACATGAGTTCGGTACATCAGCCCGAATCACTGGCTCGCCGCCGCGGCATACAGCCGCACGCCACTTTTCGAGCGGTTTGTTTACACGCCTTTCAGCATCACCCATCGGGAAGGGGTTCATCTCATGATCACGAACTTAATTGTAGACATGGCAAGAGTATGACATAACCAGGATGAATAGCCTTAGCCAATAACAGCCCATTTATTCACAAATTCATTATTACTCTTCTAGTCAGAGAGAAGCTATTTACAAACAGCTCATTATCAAACTCAAGACATCTAAGACCTTTCATTGAAAGTGTGTCTCAGGGTGCCTGGATGATCAGAGCACAGAAATGTATTGCCAATCAGAGAGTCCTAGGGAAGCAGATGAACCACACCGGGGTTTATATCCTCCTGGGAGTAACAATACAAGCCTCTGCAGACTCTTTCCAAGTTAATTCAAGCCTGAAATTGGGTTTTACAGTGATCAGCCCAAAAGGAGCATAGGCCACAATAGGAGATCACATGCCCATAAAAGGATCTTAGGACTTTGTATCGAGCTTCAATGTGTCTTCCTGCCAAGACTCTCATGCTAATATCTTGACTTGGAGCATTCTACGGCCTTTTGGAAAGTGAGCTTCAGAGGTCAACCCATACCTAAAGGCCCTGACTTTCCATTTGCGTACAGAAGTCCTACCCAACAGTATTGCTAAAATATAAGTTCCAGACAATGCTAGGTCCTCCTTTGAATGTATCTTCCAGTCAACTTCAAGATCTGTAAAACAAATTATTTACATTTTACACCCCTTTGGGCTCTGAATGCCAAGGCTACTGATTATCAGGATACCAAAGAACTGGACTGAGGCCCTGTCTACCAGTCCTGTTCCTGAAACAATCCTCTATCTTACCTTTTAACTCCCTTCTTGTCAAGATCTCCAAACTGGTGAGGAATCACCATTTCAAAATGTTTTTCCAAATCTAGGATGACAAAAGCAGAATTTTCCATACCTACTGTACTCAGGAACATAAAATATTCATTCTCATTCATCCACACATTCATTCTACAGCACATCAACTTACAGATCCATTTCCTCTTTACCCATCAGTAAATCCTTACCAAGCTGCACATTAAATTATATCTCTGGACAAACTGCTGACTCCTTTGGTTCGTTTTGTTTTACTCATCACCACTTTTACATTCTTAGCTTAATTTTCTTCTCTGGGCTATCTGGATCCATTTCATTAAACCAAAACCCATTTTCAAAAACCTATCAAATCTCTATGATCTTAACCATTCCAACCAAATCATACATACATAACAAAGTGTCTTCTAAGCAATGCTTATAAATTCTTATATAGTTTTTTTTCCTCCCATTCTCACACATTCTTCTTAGCATCTTTATGAATTTAGATAAAAAAATAAATAACATAAACCTTAAGATGGTGATCCTTTTGCTAGGCTGCGATGGCTGGGACTTTCTGTATGGCACATTTGGGAGGTAGACATCAAAATGGAAACTCAGTTGAAGTTCTTTGGGAATCTTCCACTCTCTGTCATTGACATTGGTGGTTTCATGCACCAAACTGCAAGCTGCAAGGACTGATTCTAGAATAAGAAAGAAGGCAAGAATGAATCATTTCAGCCCCCTTATTCAATAATGTAGTTTATGCACACCCAAAAATGGTGATTCAACACTCAAAAGAATCTGGAATATTATAAATAAAAATATGCAATCCTGGGAAGTTATAACATGAACATAACAAAAAACAAGTGGCTATACTCATGCTGACTGTTACCCTGAATGAAAGACCAGTCCCACCTTCACCTACCTAATTTTTAACCCACTGATGATGTGAGTGCATGTTCAAGTGTGTTTTAGATTACTAATTTTCTTTGCACCTAGATAAGTCCAGAAAAACTTAGTCCTCAATTCCTAGTCATACCTGCTTGCACCTCTTGAATTGTTTTCTTGATTTATGGAAAGATATTTATTCTTTATTTCTATTATTGGTATTATTAGTGACATTATAACAGTGGTAACAGAGAATAATAACATAAACCTTAAGATGGTGATCCTTTTGCTAGGCTGCGATGGCTGGGACTTTCTGTATGGCACATTTGGGAGGTAGACATCAAAATGGAAACTCAGTTGAAGTTCTTTGGGAATCTTCCACTCTCTGTCATTGACATCGGTGGCTTCATGCACCAAACTGCAAGCTGCAAGGACTGATTCTAGAATAAGAAAGAAGCCAAGAATTAATCATTTCAGCCCCCTTATTCAATAATGTAGTTTATGCATAACCAAAAATGGTGATTCAACACTCAAAAGAATCTGGAATATTATAAATAAAAATATGCAATCCTGGGACTTACACTCCATGCCCTGCCTAGTGTGTTTTAGATTATTAATTTTCTTTGCACCCAGATAAGTCCAGAAAAACTTAGTCCTTAATTCCTAGTCATACCTGCTTGCACCTCTTTAATTGTTTTCTTGATTTATGGAAAGATATTTACTCTTTATTTCTATTATTGGTATTATTAATGACATTATAACAGTGGTAACAGAGAATAATAACAGTAATGATATTAATAAGATTAGAAAAAAAATCCACAAATTTCAAGGAATGGAAAAAATCAGGTGAGATCAAAGAGGACTAGTAATTGATTCCTTGGTGACTGAGGCCTTGTGGAGCTTTTACATGTAAACAAAATTCACAATACAAATCTACAGTGAACACTTATGTACCTGGCTCCTGTGGTTAATGGGATAAGAGCAAAAGTGAGTTAGCTGGAAAACAAGGAGGCATTCTCACTCCCTCAGTGACTTAATTCTTAAAAATGTGCATTCTTACCACACACAATGTATAAATATGGAAAAATCTAAGACATAACCATTTTTATGGATATATTATTGAGCTCACTCTTACTAAGTGGTCAAGTACTACATTTTTCTTATTTTCATGGACTCTAATATTACTGCATATTACAGGTGCATATGGATTTAAAACCAGGCATAACTCCCAATGTCCCTCCCACACACTCATGAAAATCTCCTTATCTCTGCATGTATAGCCAACTTGCTAACAATTTAGTCTTACGTGTACTAGCAGCCATTCCTGGTTTTATGAGAGGGACTGTGTGGCCTCTCCAGAGCGCACGCCCGGGCCCTTCAAGCAATAGTTTTTCTGCGGAAGTTTCCTTCAAAATCCTTTTGTACTCTTTCCATGAATCCACTTTCACATGCAACTAGGAAAAGAGGAGTTACAAAATATTACTTCTAGTTGAGATAAATGTTGCCATTTTAGAGAGTTTGTAAGCATATAACAAAAACCTTTCTAGTGTCCATGATTCTCTAATAGAAGTTGGACTATATCATATATCTATTCACAAAGTTTTGTTTGTACTAACAATGCAAAAATTTATGATTCAACTTGCCAAGCCTTCTTACCTTTACCAGACAGCTTGGGTAGTAGTCGCGTTGGTGCTTTTGTTTCCTTCGCTTTCCTATTTTCCACGCTGGTCTAGTGCTCATATCAATATCACCTTTTTGAGAACTCCTATAAGGGCTTCTGTTCATGCATTCCTCCTCCTGGTACATACTATACTGGGACGTGTCATAAGACCATCTGTCATCATGCTGGTGCCAATCTCTATTCCTCTTGCTTTGATGGTACTCTGGGGAGTCTCTCCAAGGCTCCGGGGTGCCCCTGGAATCCCTGTGCCAATCATTACCATTCCCGTTGTGCCTTTGGTTACCAGACCAATCTCTTCTCCCTTGCGATGTGCTTCTGTCTCTGCTCCACCTGCTGTTACCTCTGCCATGTCTCCAATCATCTCCTCTACTGTTTTCATAATGGAAATCTTTTCCTCTGTCTTTATGACGGTTGCTACTATGGTAGAATCTATCAGGTTCATATGAAGAATCATCATATTTGCTATAGTAATTTAAGGCCTCCAATGATATTTCATAGCAATCTTTATGAGGTATGCTATTAGCAGGAAGTAAGTCTGATGACTCTACCGATACATTCATAATTCTTCTACCCACTACATTAGGGAAAAGACCTAAAAAGGTCCTTCGAATATGTTCATATTCACTGAGTTCTGAAGAGTCAGTTCTTTCTCGCTTTTTCTGAGAGGTTCCTTTCTCATTTTGTGATACTTTTTCTGCTCCCTGATCATTATCTTTAGATTCTGAAGAACAAGGAGTGGCACCATCTAGACTGGCATAAAATTCAGCTAATGCATCATCCATGCCTTCCTGATTTGAGCTATCACAATTAACATCTTTGGTCTCTGCTTTGTCCATTTTGGCTTTGAGCTGTAACTTTGCTGTTTTTCTTGTTGCTTGGTGCTGATCTAACCTTATAACCTTCTCATATCCTGAAAATAAAAGGATAACAGGTCACTTTCTTTCCCTTCTTTCTTTTCAACATCTCTTTGAAATACAGTACCCTACAAAATGGCTAAAATTATCAAAACAAACCAATGACAACATGTTTTCTAATAAACAGGAAAATACACAACTCCCATTATTATCTAAGTTTATGACATACACCTTAAAGTTGTACATACTTGTAAATAAAAGGTGTGGCTGATGCCGAATCACCTTACAACCATTGCGCGTCAGGTGAGTATATACTATATACATGTCCATTTGGTGAGCATCTTGGAGCATTAAAGTCTGTGCCTGTTGTATGCTGAGTGGCATATCACCATATGTCACTTCTAGTTCACCCTGAAAGAAAAGAAAACAATTGTAATTACTTAGTTGTATCTTAAGCACAGAAGAGGTGTACTTTATAAGGCATACCGACTATACTTTTACATTTACATATCAGAGCACATAGATCTGATAAAGACAAAAAGGAATCATGGGAGAATGCAAATATAACAATTATCAAATAAGATGGGCCTGATCATAAGTGGATGTAAGAATGTGTGAACCAGTCAAGCATTCAATCAATAACAGGTTAAAGACACATCCATATCCAGACTTAGTTTCCTGCCAGGAAGGCCTCATGTCTCGAATTCCTCACAATACACTTGACTGATTTGTCCAAGCCATGACATTCCACATTGCCTCATGGGCCTCCTTTACTCATGACTGTCTCTGGAAGAGACAACTTGATGGGTAGGATGAAGTGTCAGTACAGCCCAGATTTTACAGTGCAGATGCCGGTTGAGAACATGAACCTGCCAACTGTACCCGATGATCAATGCCAAGACCTGCTTCAAAAGGCAAAAGGCATGTGACTTGTGAAGATGAACAGTATATCCTTCTCCACAGGCATTATCATCTCAAGATACTATTGTTGTGAGATTTCATGATTCCTTCTGCCACAAAATTCTGTCTTTTGAATTCTGGTATGACAGTAGAGTTATAAATTATACTACAGAGATGTATAACTGTGCCTGTGACTGTGTATCTTTGTTGTAAGCATTTACCAACTGGACAGCTTTGCTTGGAACACTCCCAAAGTCCTTGATCTTAGCCTTGGTCCAAAGTCTTCTTTACAAAAGGCTTCACTTCACTACAAAATGCATGAAGATAAGGCACCAACATCATCAGTAATGTCAAGGTCAGTAATACAGGCATTATATAATGTTGTTCTGGATTGACTTTGGATGGCAGCTACCCACTTTACAGTCCATGTTTAAATGTTGGTGTAAGAACACAACCTTGTCTCACTCCTAAATTCATAGGAATGAGGCTATACATCAATACAAAACATTACACAGCATTTTCAGTACTAGTATACAGGTTTTCTGTGATCCCCTAAAATCCAAGTCACCATGATCATGGCTGATTGCAGATTAAGCAAGCAATCCCATTTGCTATAATTGTGGATAACCGACACCACAACCACAATATCAACCACCCCCCATAACCTCACTCCCCTAATCTGCCTGACCCAATAATAATCATGCTTTTCCTCCTCCTCCTCTAACTTCTTGTGAATGAAAGGTAGTGAGTGTGAAGTAGTAATTCTGGTACTATATGGCAAATTTCACCCAGCCATTTGACTTCAGCCAGTCCTCCTTCCGCATTCCCCCTCCACAAACCATACTACTCCTGGTATTTTCTTTTTACT